CTCTCTCTCTCTCTCTCTCTCTCTCTCTCTCTCTCTCTCTCTCTCTCTCAATCGTTCAGTGAGCAAGAGCGCCCCAAACATGACTTAGCTCTCTCTCTCTCTCTCTTTCCCTCTCTCCCTCTCTCTCTCTCTCTCTCACAGTCGTTCAGTGAGCAAGATCGCCCCAATCATGACTGATCTAGACTGTGGCAGGCGGTCAAAGTGACACTGGACAGCTTTCACTCGTGGGGGGATGCCGACCGGGCTATCTCCGCTTTCTGCAAGGATTGGCTGGGAGGGAAGCGGGGAGGGTGGATGGCGTAGGTGGTTTGGTCAGGGGATGGGCAGAGGCAACGTTACGGAGGTGAGCAATGGCCACTGGAAGGGCCACGGGTCGAAATTGTGAGATACTACGGTTTGGTGTTTCCCCGATTGGACGAGAATAGACCCGGGAATCCCTCTCAGGCCGGCGCAGCAGTTTGTGGACCCCTCCCCTCCCCACCCCACCCCCAGGCCCTGACAAAATGTCAACGCAAAGAGAGAGAGAGAGAGAGAGAGAGAGAGAGAGAGAGAGAGAGATCTTAGTGTGGCAGATCATAGAAATCGGCATCGAAAATAATAGCCACCTTGATCACCTTATTAATATTAATATTAATATTAATATTATTATTATATTTTTTTCTTGCGAGTTGATTGTCGTAGATGTAGGAGAGAGTTTTTCAGTGAGGGACGTGGTATTGGACCCGTAACTCGGTAGCAATCCCTTAAGGATTATTAATACGAATCGAATGTTGAAGGGTGTGATTACTAATTAGGCTTCTCGCCGCTGCTGTACAAAATCGAGCCTCCCTTCAAGGTAGGTCGGTTGTCTGTTAGCCTTTTCTACTTCCCTTCTTTCTTTTTCTTCCTTTTTCTTTTTTTAAGGGGTAATTAGGCGGCGGTCACAATTTCTTTCAAAACAGCACTTCCGCACTTCAGTCGCTGCCCGAGTTCTCCATTCAGTTGAAACTCGGGCCACCCTTTTGTGACAAAAAGGCAGTTTTTCATTAGCACTTCAGTCAAGCCACATACGCCGGTACCGTCCCCGCCAACCGGGACTTTTCGTCCTGAGGTTCAGTCGAGGCTGGGTCCGATCTTCCTCACAAAACGAACGGACGGGAAGTAGGTGAGGTCTTCCCGGCGTTCCCGCCACCCCTCTCTCTCTCTCTCTCTCTCTCTCTCTCTCTCTCTCTCTCTCTCTCTCTCTTGCACGCGTGTGAGAGAGAGACAGAGAAGGCGCCCGCGACTTGCCGCCCACTGCCCCCGTGCAGCTCAGTCCCACTGCAGCCCCCTCTCTCTCTCTCTCTCTCTCTCTCCCTCTGTGTGTGTGTGTGTGTGTGTGTGTGTGTGTGTGTGTGTGTGTGTGTGTGTGTGTGTGCTTCTTTTTCCAGTAGTCGCTCGAATGCATGTGGCACAGGTAACAGTCCCCATACAATCGAAATTCACAGTTTCGAATGTAACATGCATTCACAGACCAGTGAGAGAGAGAGAGAGAGAGAGAGAGAGAGATGGCGCCTGCGCGTTGCTGCCCACTGCGGCTTCGCCCGGTGCCCCCCCGCTTTAGCCCGTTCTCTCATGCTCCGGCTTCAGCGCTCTCTCTCTCTCTTTCTCTCTCTCTCTCTTTCTCTCTCTCTCTCTGTGTGTGTGTGTGTGTGTGTGTGTGTGTGTGCGCGCGCGCGCGCGTGCGCGTGTCATTTTACGGTAGAAACCAGTAGCTGCGAATGAATGTGGCTCAGGCGATGGTCCGATACATTCAAAATTCAGTCTGACTGACTGCGAATTTCGAATGTATCCGACCATTACCTGAGCCACATTCATTCGCAGCTAGCACTGGAGAGAGAGAGAGAGAGAGAGGGGGGGGGGGGGGCATGCTCTGGCGCAGCAGCGCCCACTGCGGGGCTGCCCTGAGGCAGACCCTGGATGACCGATAATGTCTCGGTCCTCCAGGCCTGTGTCATCCTGGGAGGGCCTCTGCTGGGCCGTCCAACGCGGCTGACTACCGTCTTCCCCCGAACACAACGCACCCTGATTTTGACTGTATCGGGCCGGAAGCATGCCTTGCATATGTTCATTTTCAGGATGCGTTGTGTTCGGGCGAAGACGGTAGAGTGCTGTTTTGAACTCCCCCGCGTTGGACGCCTTCCTCCTCACCCGAGTTCCAACTGCATTTGAAACTCGGGCCCAGAAACCAAGTTTGAACTTTGAAATGCATATTCCAACTCCAACCCTAAACCCTAAACCAAGTTTTTTCTTTTTTTTCTTATCCAAACACCTTTTAGTAAAGACCACACACACCAAAAAATTGTGACTTAAAAAAACATTAAAAAAATAAATAAATAAATAATAATAATAATAATTAAAAATAAATAAAAAATTGTGACTCTACTGATGTTAGGCGAGACTCACAGTAGGCACTCAAAATCACAGAATCCCCAAATCAGCGTTCAGATCCAGTCCTAATAGAAGCACTCCTATCCAGTCCTCCTAATCGAAGCACTCCAATTGGCCGCTCATTTTGCTATTCTGTGATTTTGAGAGCCTAGTGTGACTACACTCTTACCCCAAAAAGTGAGAGCCTAGTGTGACTATACTCTTAGTACCCCCAAAAGTAAAACACCACAACACGAACCCTACCTCTTTTCTACCACTTTGGGGAGCCTGATGTGAAGCCAGAACACTGGTGGATCTGCTGCCACCTGCGCTGGCGTCCAAACAGCTGTCCTCTTGGCGGCAACCAAACAGCTGTCGTCTTGGCGACAATCAAACAGCTGTCCTCTTCGCGGCTATGGATCAACTTGTGCAGAATCTGTCATCTTGACAGCTGATGATCTCTTTACGCAGATCCCTTTTCTTCCTGACGCTCGACGATCAGTTTGTACATTGAGCTTTCTACTATTACGAGAACACTTTACGCAATTTTGCAAATTAATTTAAGGAAGTGGGTGCAGGTGGGGGGCATACTGATGATACTGTGGCACTGTGGACTATGTAAATCTGTCGTCTTCACAGCCTACGATCAGTTTGTGCAGACGGCTGTCACTCGAGCTACAGCTTGGGGAGGGCTGCATGGTTGATGTGACTGGGTACACCGGGTCATGGATGTATGTGATGTACATTGTACTGACCATGCTGTGTTTGCGTCTGCGAGCTTTTCAGTTGCCGCAGCCTTGCTGTCGCATTTTCCTTGTGGTCAGGGTTCTAATTTATTTATTTATTTATTATTATTTTTTTTGGGTTCTAATTTTCAATCAGCAGGTGGCAGGTTTGCTGCCTCGAGGGAGCTATTGATTAAGTTTGATTTGCGGATTTCGGACCATTGGATTTCGCCACTGGAGCTAGGCTACCAGAGTGGCCCGGGTCCACTTGCCCGGCCGGGCCAAAAAGATATAAAAAGATATAA